CTATGAAGCCACACATTGGGAGCGAGGTCAATTAATTGAATTCATATCTTCCCGTGAGGAGTGAAATGATGTGAAGTATATATGAAATAATTCATATTCCTGTAATAATTGCACAGTCACCGCGCTGTATGTCATAGTTGTGCGTTACCTGGTTGCCTCCCTGACCGTGACACTGGTAAAGTCCAAGAGGTGCATCATCCTTCTTTCCCAGGGTGTCCAGACATTTATCACTGGAAGGATTTCGAATCTACAAACGTGCAACAAAAGTTTAACTTCACGTTAGCCAGGAAAAACAAGGTCTAAAATTGCACTTTAAAAAAACCCATGATGTTGCAACAAATAGCGCTCAAAATAGAACACGATTTGAGCTTGGACCATTAGGAAAATCATTTATCATAGAGGGCGCAAGTTCCTAGGAACACACAAAGGAACAATACCACTATTCAAAGTCACGTAGGGTGGTTCAATCGGGTTTTGAGTGACGATCACTCTCAACTTTGAGCAACTACAGCATCACCACAATGAAACTAACATAAAATCTAACACAAGGGTGTAAGAGAAAATTGTAAGTGAAGGCTCAAGGTGTCAAAATACAACAAAATCAAAACTATTTCAAAATGGTATTGAAAGCTATGTCCACAAGACTTGAAAAAAATAATAGTTTGGTCTTGATTGAATGTTATATCTTCTAATCACCTCCCGTGAAAATCTCAGAGAAATCGCTCCGTTTGATTTTCATAAACCTTGGCTTGAATATCAACTGGCTTGGGGTGTTATTTTCCATTTCTTTTTACCAACCATTGAACCTACATGTTGGTGAAAGCAAAGTCTGCATACGACCCAAGTGGCCCATCAGGCCAAAGCTTATCCCGATTTCTGTAGCATGAAACAAATAGGAATGTTTCTACTTCCCCCTGGATTGGATGCTAGTCCATCGCAGGGTTACCCCCAGCATTAAATTCGCCGGTACCCATTTATACACCTGGGTGGAGAGAGGCACTGTGAGAGTAAAGTGTCTTGTCCAAGAACACAACGCAATGTCCCCGGCCAGGGTTCGAATCCGGACCACTCAACCCGGAGACGAGCGCACAAAACAATGAGGCCACTGCTCCTCCCACAAAACATTGAAACTACTATTGTTAAATCGGTCAGGAAGTACAAAAACACTCGCTGATTTTTTTACTTGACCAAAATCCCATACATTTACAAACGATTTTTCTATTCTGGCACTGGATTATTACAAACTTTGCTGTGAGAATGCCACCGTTGCTTTGTTTTAAGGCCTCTACTCTAAAACAAGTAGAGAGGTTTAGGATTCCTATACAATAAAACTTTCTTACTCTACCTAGCTACTGAGATAGACACATTGCATTGACGTGTCATCCTTTTCAACCTACCTGGCCAGCAGCCACAAAGTTTGTATCTGGAACTTCTAATTCAGGTATAATATTTTCCAAGTACCACTTGAAACTTTTACACTTTAACGTCTTTCTAAGAGCAAGTCTTTCACTGACGTCATCGTGTTTCTTTCGTTTCAGATCAAAGCGGATGTTGTAGAAATGTTTACTGTATTCATCCATCCACACATCTGCCACTCTCATAAGATTACGACTTACAACATCAAGGTCGCCACCTGGACGAGCGGGGAATGAGTACGGGAAGCGAGGTCTGAACACGTGTCCAACACGTGAACAGGGAAGCATTTCAATGGTGCCTCCACACATCCAGACCTAAAGCATATGGAATGTATGAACAAATAATTTTACTCTGTATTAAATATGGTGCACAGCATCTTAGAGGAGAAATAGGAGTACGTGGTTCATACATGATAAGATAGAAGAGTTATAGAAGTGAACACTTACCCTAAAAGATATTTCAAGATTTTCTCCACCCCAAATATCCATTCCAGTGTCATAAGTTCCTATTTCCTCAAAGTAACTTTTATCAATAGAGAACAAACCTCCTGCCATCACCGGGGTCCTGAAAAAAACCATTGTAAGTTGCTATTTAATAAGTTGATTGACACAAAGTTGGACATGCCAACACTAGCCAACTGGTACCTCTCCCACCAGTGTTAACTTTCATCCTGGTGGGGGGGGGGGGGGGGGGAGGGGGGAGGAAAGGGGCCACTTCCTTGTACACACACCATGTAGGTACCTGCAGGGTATACCTTATTAGCTGTTTTGATTTGAAATTTGGACAAAGATATTAGGTCTAGGTTTGCCTTCTTTTTTTAAATTGGATCAGGAGTGTGCTTTTAAGAGAACAATGACATACATACATTTTACCAGGCTTTTTATCTTTAAACAGAATGACAAGAAAACACAAAATATCACTGAATAGACTGAGACACCATTTACAAGTTCAATAGGTGAACTGTTAAGTCTGAAAATTGGTGTGGAAAATGAAGTTTTTAGTTTGAAATAAATTGCCTGCAGGCTGATCCAGATCCTGACGCAGTTTGTTGTGGCCAAACTTTATTGTTTGCAACCTAATCCAGATTGTTTACAATCTGATCCAATAACCTGCAGCTGACCAAAATTGTTCACAGCCTGACCCAGACCGTCTGTAGCCTGACTAACATTACAAGTAACCTAACAGCACCCATCTGCAGTTTGATACAGGTTGTCTGAAATCTAACCAAGATTGTTTGCAACTGAACCCAACATTCAGATTTCACAAATATTCCAGGTGTAGGATGTATACAAATATAGGATTCCCAAATTGCAGATCTCTTGAGAACAATATCATTTTAGAGGAACCTTTGTACCAGTTAAAACAAGTAGTTTATCCAATTTCCAAATTTCAGTAAGGCCAGTTATTTAACCAGTGGAAACAGACCTTTCACATACTTCGCAAAAAATCTATTCATTTGATGTGCTCACCTTATACCATCAGTTCCATCTTTACGCCTTTCCATCTCATATTGAGGAACAGGCTTCCAACCAAACTCTAGCCGCCAACGAAAAATTCCTCTATGGAATGGCTCTGGCACAGCATGATAATAAAAATTCTGATCACTAATTTCATCTATGACAGGCATTACTACATTTGAACGATTCTCAGCAATTTTAGCAAGAAGCGGCACCAGCCAGCCCTTAGAACATTCACAGTGAGCATCCAAGAATGTCAAAACCTGTCCTTTAGCTTCTGATGCTCCTTTGAGTCTTGCACGAATGAGACCCTGTCTTTCTGGAAGGCGAATAATCCTAACAACTCCGAGCTTAGCAACATAGTCATCAAGCTTTGTTTTCAGTTCATCTGTAAATCATAAAGGGAGACAGAGTTGATCAAAGCATACCTATTGGGCACCAGTAGTTCATGAATTAGTGTTATAAAAGAAAGGTAGTATTATACAACCCAGGAAAGTTTCTTTAAGTACACTCCATTCTCATAAATGCAGTTTCATATGTTTAATACTAATAACATTAATACCATTTTTTTCTAATTCTTCACAAATACTGTGAACTTATTGACTGAGTGGGAGGGCCAGATGAGAAAATATTTGGCTTGAGGTCAGGATGAACGGCCCAAGGAGAGTGAGGTCTGTGCATTCCGAGTAATAAATCACAGATGTCTCCTGTGATCTGTTATTGAACAGTTGCATGTAACATTGAATCTATCTTTTTTATATAATTTCGAGACAAATAACCTCAGTTATTTATCTGTCTTCCATTTGATCATAACTGAGAACCAATCAAAATGCATGAATAATTTGACTTAAAATATAAATACATGTTCATTTTCATTACTCATTTTAAGGAAAACAAAATTTTGCAGCAACAAAACTGTTTCTGTCATTAACTCACATCAATTTTGCAGGGCCATTGGCATTTCTGGTAGGGCTTGGCCCGCTTTTTCTTTCGGGTGCATAATTTGAAAAATAGAGAGATTGTAAACAGTCACGTTTTTCCAGCCTTCTCACTTCGACATGTATGGCCTTCATGTCGGTCCTTTTTCCTTATGGCTCTCCAAGGAAATAGTGCGCACAGGCAGTATGGGTCAAATGATAAAAATAGTTACAATACTGTACATTGTGCAGTTCCAGAAAATATCTAAAGCCACCTCGATGAAGGTTATTGGAAATTCTGAAGGGAAGGAATAGGAAGCAAGTCTGGCCTCAGCCAAATGACCTTAACATTGGTAAGCTTTCATTACCTCGCTCACTTGCATCATCTACAAGAATGATTTCTTTCAGTAACTGTGGAGGAGTTCTGTTGATAACACTATGCACTGTTCTTAACAGAGTAGACCAGGCTTCATTGTGAAAACATATAATAACAGTACTTGTCGGAAGATTCACAGGATATTTCTTTGTTTTACACCTGAAATAAAAAAGGTATCTTAATAAGGTTATATGACTGCAAGAATTGATTTAAGTTTCTTCAAATTTGTTTAATGTTTCTTTTATTAATACAAGCAATTAACTTTGTTTTGCTGACAAGTTTGGGTCATTTTAAAATCTGTGGGATGATAATTATTAATTAAAATAATAACATGGTAGATCAATCTTGAAATGCGAGCATGTATTTTTTAATCAGTGCTGCCACAAATTTCGGCCATTTCAGTTTGAGAAACTTTGCCAGCTGTTGACATTAGTTTAACAGCTAGTATTGTATTATCGTAGCACAAGTTAAGCTCAAGCACACTCAAAAAGAAACACAATTACCCCTCTCCATAATATACATAAGCAAGAGCTTTATATTTTATTCAAAAGTTTGGATCTGCAGTCACTAAAGAGTATTGTCTCTACTAAATGCTGAAGGGACCACAAATGCCAGCTTCACAGGAACACTAGGTCAGTTAAGTTTTACATGTAAATACCCTCTACCCCGTGAGCATTTATTTGACACACTGGCATTTACTTGAGGTTCGGCAATTACTTGAACCAGACATTTATAAATGCCATTCTCATTTTTATTCTCATTTTTATTCTCATTTTTATTCTCAATAGCCTGCTACACTCTTCAGGCTTGCCATGCAGTCCTTTCCCTCCCATAAATGTCTGCTTAACTGACCAGCCTCCTCAGCTCTTTAGCTCAACCACAGAGCAATTTCAAATGGCCAGTCTGAAATGTCAATGTTCACAGATCACAGGAAATAGCCAGTGTTAGTACATAAAGCTTACAAAGAAGCCTGATCCACATATTTTCTGTCATTATTATGGCTCAGCTTGCTATTTATAAATAATACAACAGAAACAATAATATTAATCATACTAATAACTAACAATATTATTCACGAGGGTTAAGTGAACATTGGTGAATATTTACTGCGACTAAGTCAAGGTAAATAGTCACCAATGTTCACTGAGCCTGAGGTGAATAATTGTTTTAGTATAATTTTCAGAGATGAATATCAAAAACTGCAACGAACTAAAACATAAAAACACAAACGTACCAGCAATTAAGCTTACTTGCAAATTGATTGTGAATCAATTTACACATCGAGTTAGGCTGTAAAACAAACAAGAAAGACACTGTCTATGAAATATAAATTCATCTGGTACCTTCATCGTCTCAAAATGAGTAGCTTCAGTTTGAAGAAAACTAAATTTTGGTCAATCGATCTGACCTACTGGCGATAGACCACTGCATTTACCATTCTTTAATACCTCGAATATGAGTTCTTGAAAAGATTTTTGGTCTAAGAGAGCGACAGCAGTCATTTTGAAAACTCTCAATGCTTTCAAATATCCTTGACTTGGAGTGATATCTTTGCAATGAATAAAATTTTCATTGAGCAACTGTCAGCTTTGTAACCAAGCTCATAAATGTTACATTCACAGCCTAGCGCGGTCAAGCTTTTCAACCAATCAGAACATCCAATTCTTATAATCACCTCTGGAAATTATACGAAATAATTTATATTAGCATTTTATCCATGAGTATTCTATAAATAAACAATTATTATCCACGAACCTAGAGGCTAAATGAACCGTTTCTGNCATTTGCAACGTTTTTTCACAAAAAAATCACAAATGCCTGAAAAATGGAAAGGGGGGATGAGCGGCTTAGAATTGACAGAGCCATTACAAGTGGCAACACACATCAGCATCATATAATTTGTCATTAATCATCGACTAATATTAAGCTTAATACACCACTCCACGACCTAAGATTTACATGAATGTCGTGGATAAAGGTTGAAGAAAGACAACTCGAAATGAACCATAGCTTACTTGGAATTTCGTACATCGGGAAGGTTTCTTTCCAACGAAATCTTGTCGCTTACGACGCGGTTAAATGCATGATCACTAAAGCCTTGTTCTTCTCTTTTCTTTTCTAGAAAATTAAGCGACACGCCGGCACCCCATTCTCCTGGTTTGTCAGGGTTTCTATCTGGAGTTTTGTCGTACATAAGCAAGTTGTAAATTGTTGCATCACCAGGATTACTTACTTCCGTATCAAGCTTATTGCTAAAGATAATGTACACCGCCAAATAAATCCATACAGAAGATGTTATGACCACAAAGTAGAACACAATGCGTCGCTTTGGAATGATCATTCTTGATTTTTCTCAAGTAATTTTCTTCCTTCTCAAACATTACTCACGCCATCGGTTGCATAATGTGTCATCCTCAAGACCACACCTTTATGCTTCCAACTAACATGTCGCCAACGAAAAGAGAATAATTCCAATGTTCACGGGAATCCTTTCGGAGTAAGCTTGGTTGAGCGAACAATCGAATGTCCCATCGAGTGAGTACTATCGAAGGGGTTTCAGAGCCTTCGTTTCATCTGACCAGTGGAAGACCCGTGGAATAAAAATTCAGGAATGGTCTTTGGTATGGAATGGGAATTGTCAAGAATATGGTTCTGCGGAATTGGCTTTCAAAAAAATGGGCTCTAAGCTCTGTATTTATCGATTCATAATGGCACCTTTGCCAGCATTAAATCACGCGTGGCATGAAAAGTCGTTCATCGATGGAATGAAAAAATAACAGGTATCTCTCAGCTTCATATCGCCATATCGTAATCCTTGGGAAAACTCCGCCATTGTATAATATAAAAAAAAGATCGAAAGGTCTTCTTGTCACAGTGTTGAGCATTTGAGGCAAGTTAAAGAATGTCAAACTTCTTATTTTTGGTGTGAAAAGATTACAAACCAAGTCGGGCGAATTCTCTGCCACATGAATTTTTCTTCGTAGGCGCGTTAATTGGACAGCTGTCACCCAAAGCTGATTCACAAATCATCCTTACTGTCGACGTACCCCTACTAACCAGAGTCACATAAAACGGACCATAAGTTGAACTGCACAAGACTGATATCTGACTGACATTTACAACTCATGTCCTTAATTTCCCAACCCCTCTCCCTGATATACTACTAATGCCAACGGACCAGCCCCTTGAAAAGCACAAATTGCCTGGACAACATGATTGAGTTGTCCACCTTATTAGGGCTGAATCAGATATGTAATGGATTTTAAAATCAAAATATTACACGAGTTAAATAAGACGTAAACCACTTACCCTTTGTGTCTATGGTCTCTGAGTGTTCGGTGCATAGAGATCATATCACTGGCGACACGGTTAAATGAATGTTGATCAAATCCTTCATCTTCGTCGTCCTTGCGAGAAGCCGGCACCGTGACTCCCTCACCCCCTGCTCCAGGGCCCTTTAGTTTAGCCCCTGGGGGATATCTCTCGTAATTTGCTGTAATTAACACAATTTCTCTTTGATGCTTCTTTGAAGTACTAATATCCTTTTTGGAGCTTTGTTTGTTAATCTGTTTAATAATGTCTTTCTTTGCTGCATTTGGAATGCCATGTTCAGCCGGTCTCTTGTCTGTTTCCTTGGCAGGTTGATCACGCTGAACGTTCCACTTGGGCCTTTGAAGGGGTAAGTAATTGTCAGAAGTTCTCCTCTTGACTTCAATACTAACTTCCAATGACTGAATGAGGAAAAACGACACAGTTCCAAGTATCCAACAGACGGAAGTCACCACTATGGTGTAGTAGACTAGTCTTCTCCTAGAAATCAGCCTTGCCATGATCGGTTTGTACCTTGCAGTATTTTAATGCGGCGCATCTTTATGTTCCCATAACTGTTTTATCAAATAGTGTGATATAAAAGGGTCTTTGCAGAACCCTAGATTTCTAGGGAGCAAAAAACTTTCGGTTGACGAACAACATGTACTTGAAGGAAACAATGCTGGCTCTTTTGCTAGGTCACGTGGAACCACAGGTTGTAGTTTTGATCCACCTGTGAATTCATCACCATACCTGTCTTGCCACATGTCAAGTTTATTCAATTTACTTCATTTGCGCTACACTGATTCAATTTTCTGCTTTTTGTTCATACCAAGAACGCTGTAAAACGGTAAGTTCAACAAAAATACAACGTTCTTTGTTGTGATGCGTGAACTTGTCTGGCTTTAGCTGAAGCCTCACAGGCATCAACAGGTCACTCTTATCACGTCCGAGTGGAGACTACAGTTGTTAGTTCAAGTGCTTTGCTCTTCAAGATGAAGAGCCTGAATGACTCTCTAGTTTACCAAAACGGAACAACCTGTATGCGTGCATGTCATTTATATTTTAACGCGGATTTCGAACGATTTTTATAATCGGCTGAGGAATCAGTGACCGTGATCTGAATAATCCGAGGACCTCACTTTGTACGACGCTCAAGTTGCTATAGATTGTGTATTTGATAACACGTCAGTAAAGATCGCATTCCAAATCATGCAATTTTGCAAAACTTATGCTAGTAAGCCACAATCCAGAGGGTTTTTTAAGTTGCACATTATGCTTCATTAGCTACGTGACAAATAGGCCACATGTGTATATTCCCATAACGACTAAAAATGGGTTTTGACTGTGAAAAGGCAGGAAACGAAGCAAGATTACAGGGCTTATAAATAACATCCTCCAGGCGATACTTTCGGTTTCTATCATCACTGAGTTTGAATGTATGTTCGTGTTTTGAAAAACCTAGCTCCACGGCGGAGTATTCTGTATTATACGAAAAAAATTCATAAAGAATGTGTGATTTGATATTACAAAAAAATTTTGAGAACGAGGCGGTGCACATTTCACTGTACATTGTTATATGGCTCTGTCTCATGAGGACTGGGAACTATCAAATTCACGAATTTGATTGGCTAAAATCGATATTGAAAACGGTCTAGATTTTCCCATCTAGACCGGCTCCTAGACCGGCTCCTAGACCGGTAATTTTATTAGATCTGGAACGGGAATTACTTAGCTCTTATTAACCGAGCTTAGTCGGTCTGTATGGGAGAATCTTGACCTCGGTATACTCACGACCACGGTCAAGATTCTCCCACACAGACCTCCTGCTCGGTTAATAAGAGCTAAGTAATTCCCGTTCCAGATCTTTTTTGGGAGGTTGCGCCCAACGAAATAAAGCTCAACTGAATGCAGACTGTTTAGCAGGGTTCTTATGATACACGGTACACTGGGTATGTGCTGCTGACGATATGGCATGCGCAGTAGCATATTTGGCCACCTACTTTAGACCTTATGTCCGGCGGAGACAGATTACGGATTCGTTGGTTCCAATGGAATAACCGGCCGCAATTAGAACATGTTGTTGTTTGTCGGCCAGACTGGGATAACCAAACCACCGTAAGTCAGTTTGATTCTAATCGATGATTGATGCTGCATATTTCCAACCACAATGACGCATTGGTATATTTCTTGTTTACAAAGAAATGCTAACTTCTTAAGACAACGCTCAATACTTCAGCAGACGAAAGTAACCATTAGAGTCGACAAGTTTGTTTTTTAATTCTGCAAACTCGAAATTAAAATAAATTCAATTTAAGGCAAATAAGACCAAGAAGTTTGGCAAAGATTCAATTAAACAAACAATAAACAAACAATAAACATTAAGGCCGATTATTAAAACAAAGTGCAAGTTGGTTCTAGTTTAAGGCTAAATTAAGAGCTGTAGGCACTTTTCGACTAGCTAATTTTCGCTGCTGTCGTCGAATTGTGGGCAATCGCCATATTTACAGATGGTGAGATTTTTTACATTAAGAAGTGACGTCATGTATGCTTGCTACGTGGGCAGTGGCAAAGAAATCACTAGAGTCCGAGTTTTCTATTAGCGAATAGTCAACCAGGGGTTTCCCGAGTTCACTATCGCTTATAGTAAACGAGGGCGTAGTCTAATTGCTTTAGTAGACACCCTAAAGAATTGCACCACAAAACCTACAATTTTGCTTATTTTTAAGCCTAAAAGAATGATTTTCAGTTTCAAGAGCAGCGCGCGGCGCACGATCGTTGTCTATTAGCGATTATTAGAAACTGGATCGTTGCATTTTCATTGGCTTAGGTATCATAGGTTATGAGCCATTATACCATGCTCTACAAATATGGTAAGCAAGCGCTTAATTTTTTTTAGGCGTTTTTATTTTAGTTTTAGTTTAGTTTCCTATGTTTTGGGGGTGTTTTTAATAAAACAATTATTCCACTCCCTCTTGTTGGATATGAGATGGTTATAGTCAACTCGGCGCTACCATCTCATATCCAACGCGCTCGTTGAATAATTGTTAAACAGAGAACGATTAGAGAACCAATCAGTTTTGCGGATTTCCAACAGAACACAGCTGACTGGCTACTAAAAAACACAACAATGTGTAGCCCGCATATTAGATGATGTTTAAATATATCTTTAAAAGATATTAAATTCCATTTTTGCACCCACGAAACTATTAAGACTTCGGCTTGTTATCCAATGATTGACAGCGATTTATTACCTATAAGGAGAAGACCAGCACCATCTTAATTTCCTTTAAATGAGGTCCTTAGACTTTAATTAGAGCGGAGAAAAGAAACCCGCGTCTAGCAGCTCGTAAGCCGTCACTTCTTGTTATTCGGCCTGAAGAGTCATCAGGGTCCTCATCAGGGTCCAAATATTCAAAGAGTGGATAAGTGTGCTCTATCTACTGAACAGTAACTTATTCTGGCGATCAACAGCATTACCCATCCTTTGATTAACAGAGCCAGGTTTTTAACCCTGATCTATATTCACTAACGTTATTTCAATATTCAACTGGACAATATAATACAGTCTTTTCAATTACTCATTCACTAGAAGGAAGAAATAAACTCGACTGACTTCCGACGTGTACTTTTTTCGATGTCCCGACTTACAGACCGTTTTCACATGACGTAACAGCGACCATGCTGGTGTTCCCAAACAAAGAAATTTTTCACCTTTGAGAATTAAATTATTTTCTTTCGCAAAAATTTCTCATTCTTTGGGCACAACAACATAGCCACGAGGACACTTTATAGCATAAAGATTACATTAGGGTTGCACAGCAACCATGTTGATCAAAAGCAAACAATAGCAAGCCAAGGATTTCCAGACTGGATGGTAGCGATAGCAAATTATCACAAATAGTTATACGATCAGAACAGGAAGCATTAACTTGACTTGTGTTATTCACTTGCGACAAGGACAAGGGACTTTCAGCTCATTCGTCCCTGATCTAGTTCACAACATGAACTCAAAATACTTTTTTCTATGAATTAGGTTTGTGAAAAAATAATTCGTGGCAAGTCCACGAACTTGCCACGAACTATTTTTCACAAGCCTTTGACAATTCTTTATTGTATCAATTAGGTTTGTTGAAAATCATATTGGTTATAAGCAGTAAATTTTTTGTCATTTTTCCGCAATTCACCCGCATAAAAAAATACAACAGGTAAATGTTGATTGGGAGCAAGGTAAGGTAACTTTGGCCTATTGAATGTGACATATACTGAGAAATAACAGCAAAATAATTGTTCACATGCTTAGTAAAATCCCCACAAAGAAAATATCACCTTAAGTGCAAATGAAAATGAACTCACTCTCTCTCTCTGAAAAATACTTCAAGCTTATTGACTGAGTGGGAAGGCTGAACAGATAATATTTGGCTCAGGATGCATTGACTGAGAGATCAGCAACATAGGAATCCTGACTGCCCTGTCTGACGTGACTCAGTCAATGACTATATGATCACACCACCTTTGCCGAGTTTGATTTGTTTAGAAGTTGTGAACATTCCCTGGACGCGGCACAGGTTAACACGTCTGGCCCTACACGCGATAGCTCGCATCATGTTTTCCATAGGACTGCGACAGAGCGAGGCCCGTATGGTGGCATGATAAAAAACAAAAAAGGCAAACAAAAACAGAAAGACATTCTACGTTAGGATGCTCCAGCCCAGGGAGCAACCATCGTTTATCGTCCACATCTCTCGCCTATGGCAGATTACTGAGTAACTTTCCGTAGCCTAGCAACGTGCACAGAGCATTTATCTGACTGGACAATGCGAAACACCTGGGCATGCGGGAATTTAGCGGCTTTTGCTCCCTGGACTATGAACTGCTTTGTCGAACTAGTCAATACACCGGCGGCCCAGACGTTGCACACGATTAAAACGTGACATTATCCTGTTGGCGACTGCGTTACAATTTTAGTTCTTTATAAGACAATGTATGAGAATGCTTCGAAAATTGCTCTAAATGCTACGTGTAGAAAATAATTTAAATGAAAATAGCTTACCTTGCGTTTGTATTCCGTTATTTTGATGTATCAATGTTCCTGGAGGTGGTTTAGAGCCATTAAAATTTTACTTTCTCAGTGCAAACGGTCAGAAAGTAAACATCGCCTAAATGGCTCTAAACCACCTCCAGGAACACTGAGACATCAAAATAACAGAATACAAACACGAGGTAAGCCAGTTTTATTTAAATCATTTTCTACACGTTGTATTTAGAGCAGTTTTCCAAGCATTCTCATACATTGTCTTATAAACGGCTAAAATTGTAACGCAATCGCCAACAGCATAATGTCACCTATTAATCGTATCCAATGTTTGGGCCGCCTGTGGTCAATATAGCTAGTCTATTACATGTAATTTAACTCAGGAAAACTTAATAGGACATCATTACTCTTGAAACATCTGTCAACATCCACGCTGTGTTTACCATTCTTTGGAAAATTTGGGAAGCAGCTACAAGCTTTAGCTTCTTCTTAGTGCATCAAACTTATTTCCTAAGTCAAGCCGTGGTCCTCGATCAGCTAAACTCTCAAGCGTCCTTGAACCATGCTTGACAGTTTCAAAACTCTTTCCACCATTTGTCTCTTTATTTGTACTGCTAAAACCAAACAAAATACATTTGAATGAAACAATTGCGCAAATAAGTGGATTTCACTTGTAGGGTCGCCTGGAGTTGGGGAATGTGAGTAAGAAGCGATAGAGAAAACAGAGGCAATTAACATATATTCTCTAATCTCATTATCGCCATATTTACTACAACTAACCTTTTACTTGTTGCCATGGCTGCTGATAATGAGGGGAAAGCAATTTCACTATCGAGTTCTGGGGTCTTACTCTTGACACCTGGCACTCTTCTACCAGGGGCTCTGTAGGCTGGTGGTCTGTAAGCCCCTACTGGTTTAGGTTCCTCACCGGCCTGAGGACCTACAGTTTGACCAAACAAGGAACAAAACATCAGGTAAGGTGAACTTACAGGCGCTGATAAATGATACCGTATATGATATATAAGTGATCTATAGGTGATAAACAAGGGCACACTATCAGCCATTATAGTTCACCAATAAATTTTCTCCGATTCTTAT